CGTCGAAGCCGTCTTGCGTTTTAAGTTCGCTCCCGTTCACAGCCTTCTAAACAACGCTCAAACACGCTGCTCCTACCCAAAGCGAAAACAACCTAATATTTTGGTGACAATTACGAAAATATTTGTTCTTTGTCGTGAGCAACAAACGAAACGCTGTGACAAGACAGTAAAAGGAAGTGGTATAGATAGTTACCACTGCCATATATAAATGCTTAAAAGCAATAATCTTCTGTCGTGGTATATTTCATTTTCCACCAAAAAGCGCCTTAATGAAGACTGTCTTTCAAACTAAGTGATTTTATAGCACTTTAAAAAAACACTTTACACTTTCAGAAACACGTTACTTAATACAATGTCGATACCACGCACATCCACGCATATATGAAGTGGCATTGTCATGTAAATGCTTAGCGTAATATGTATGACGTCACAACTGCATCTGTGTGCCTTGCAATTGTACAGTTTAGTCCATGTTGGTTACTAGACGTTCCACTGTTCGCTGTGTGTGATTAAAAAAAATAGGATACGAAAGGAGACGTCCACAGTCGGAAGTTCATTCCCTCCCCCTGCCGCGTGCCTTTTAGAGGAACAGCGCGATTCATCTCGCCTGTCCTCGCAACGAAGGATCGAACGTTCTCCTTGCTCAGGTCACGTCGATTACGTGCACATTCAAACTCCCAATTTCTTCATTGCATCTCTACACAAGTTATTAGCAACAGCAGAAACTTCTTTGCTTTGTGCAATATTTGTCAGGCAAAGTTTGAAACGCGCACTGACCATGAGCAAGTTCCTCTTTGCGTATTTGTGAACCACGACGCCGTTAGAAAATGAGCAATATCACGTTCCCATTTCAACGGCGGCTGGCGACAGATATCCGAACATTACCAAGAAATACGATTTCGTAAATGCTACAAACATGGCGAGGGTGCGAACCATTTTAAGTCTACGCTAATAACATGGTGGAAATCCATTGATGTTACATATGCAGAGGAACATAACCTCACTTCTTTGCTTGAAATTACTCACTCTATGGTGCAGGCTTGTCACATTCTTCATGGAACCCTGGACTCAAACCTGATCCAGCTTCATCCGGATCGCTCCATCAAATTCCTGTCTCCCTAAGGTCCGTCTTAACATTAACCTCCCTTCTGTGCCTAGGGATTCCCGGGGGTTCCCCCCCCCTTCAGGCCTGCCAACCAATACCCTGTCCCGCCTACCTCATCCTCCTCGATTTAGTCACCCTGACAACATCAGCTGAGGAGTGAAGGCCGTGAAGCTAATCATTTTGAAATTTTCTCCATGATCCGTCTTTTTTAACTTTCAGGTCCAAATATCCCCCTCGAAGATCCTCAATCTACATTCCTCGTTCAAGGTGAGAGAGGACATTTGAAATTAAACATTAAAAATTAACTACAAACGTAAAGTACTACAGAATTCTTGCAATTACTTATGTTTTGTGTGCATCTGCCTCATTGTTCAGGTACGCGATAAACCATCTTATCGATAAAACTGAACAATGAGATACACATTTCAGGAATTTAAATTAAAGTTCAAGAACTTGCGATTATAACAACATACTTCCACACAGCGGCAGAATCGGTAGGATGACGCAATAATGATAAAAACGCACGCAGCGAGGCGAAGTATCGGTTACAGAACAACACAACCTTAAACTTTGCTCAAGGACATCGTCTGCCTCCGTATATGGTGCACCCACGTGACATCGCAGGAGCCATCGGAGGAAAACACTAACAAAAATCACGAACAATAAACAGCTCGTGAAGCAAAAGCCAAGTGGCGTGTCCTGGTCTAGAAATCAGGTCTTCGGGAAAAGCTACCATGTCGAGTCCCCTAACAATTACATCACAATGCTAATTTATATATTTATTATATTATTTATTTAGTGTTCTGTCTGACGACAGGTCCATATGAACAGGATCCTTCCGTCCTTTTCTCGGACTGAGACCTGTTCATATACGTTCTTGGCAGATGATCCAGAAGTGGTTTGCCATTGCCTTCTTCTGTGTGTGAATGGAGTAATTGTTGGGATGCCACGGAGGAAAACTCCGTGTTGCCTAGACCAAGGCCTTGCCCAACACAAGTTATAAATGCGACCCCGAGACCCCAGGATTACAAGGCCAATGTTTGTTTGTTTGTTTTTCTCGTACTCCACCAGACTTTTCATTTAGTAACGTGCATAATGGATTTTCCCCTCCAGAACCTTCGCTTGTTTCTCGTATAAAATGGTCCGTGCACAATTCTGACTTTAATTAAATTCCTACGCATTTATATTACTTTGTATTTGCAAAGTCCTGAACTTCATAATATAATCGCACTACAGATGTCCACGGCGAACGGACAAAACGAAGCTGTAGGTAAAATAGCTTGACCACTGAGACGTAATGAAAGATTTTCTGACTGCAGCTGGTACATGAAATGTTGACTGTGGAATATTTATTAGTTGACGGGGGGTTTCCTATTTCGCCAATTCTTTTATTTAGGAAGCAAATTCACGAAAGATGGACGCAGCAAGGAAGACATTAAAATCAGATTAGCACAAGCGAAAAGAGACTTCTTCAAAAAGAGAAGTCTACTAGTGTCAAAACATTGACCTGGAATTAAGAAAGATTTTTCCGAAGTTGTGTTTGGAGCAAAGTTCTATACGAAAGCGAAACATGGTCAGTGAGGAAGACAGAAAGAAGGAGGGTAGAAGCATTTGAAATGTTGAAAATTAAGTGGACTGATAAAGTACGAAATGAGCTGGTCTACAATAACCATAAAAATATTCCGCTGTTGTGTCATACAGTAAAAGATTTGTTTTAAAATTCGACCACAGAAAAGGTCGTAGCCGCTGCCCGATTCACACACAACGCTGTCATACGAGAATTATGGTCCAGTAACAAATCTACCTTAGGGTTTTGTTGCTGCGGAGATGAACTTAAAATATTTTCAGATCGCGTGTGCCGCGTTATTGAATCCTGCGCTCCTATACATTAACACCGCCTCCTTACATATCCCTATCCCAGAGGAAGATACGAGCAATGAATAAGCTGTCCTCTTCCGTATTTCTGAAGACCACGTTAATTAGCAGGACGTTGCATGGAATTGGTCAGCAAGAAACTCAAAGGTCACAAACTGACCATGTCAAACGAACAGAAAAGAAAAATGATGAATTGCCGGAATTAGCAAACGTGAATAAGCAACGGCTGACAAATTAAATCCAGCAATGTTGCCAACCTCGTGCAACACCAAAACCTGCGTCTCGCGTTTCGCCCCAACGCGAAGCCTTGGAGGGCGGACGGACAGCTGTCGCTGAACACATTCGATCTACTTAAATATTGCAAACGCCAAAGACCACAATTACGTACAGAAATAGTCGGTGTCAGTTCATTCGTGATCAATCATTATTTATCCTGAATTGTGAGCCTTTAATTCACTCCTAAAGGTTCTTTGTTTACGATCAATAGAATACGAACTTGTATCAGCACATAAAATATATGAATAATTCATACGACTACAGACGTTACATTTAAATCCCCGTCTGTATGTGCCTTTGACCCCCTTTCTTTCAAGTTCTGCTACAAAATCAGTTCGTTTTCTAATTAATGCGGCTTAACATCACCTGATTCATTCACATTTTCAAACAGCTAATTTATCTCAGATCCATTTTAATGTTGAACATCCATTACCCTCTCGGTCTTTCAAGAGACTGCTACTCAAATAGCTTCCTCATCAAAATTCTGTATTATTTACTGTTTCCTAAGCTACATTTCCAACCAATTTTAAGCCTTTTTCAAACAAATGGCAACCCATAACAATTTAAAGAGATTTAGGTTAGTCAATAATTTTGTCGTTCCGATCTCTTAGAACGAATATTTTTTAAAAATTATGTTCCTAAGTAATTATGATGTGTGTGCTTCCCTTAGATTAAAATATCGTATTTCACAACTGTTAAATTTCCGTAATAGTTGTCTTAATTTTTGATGGGTAATCTGCTATTAGATAAAATCACATGGTTTGCAAAATCACTTACGGCGTTGGAAATTAGATGATACTACATCTCGTAGGGAAATCTTGTAATGGCACAGACATCTCATCTGTTCACAAAACATACTTATTATTTATATTTATTTATTTAGTGTTCTGTCTGACGACAGGTCCATATGAACAGAATCCTTCCATCCTTTTCTCGGACTGGGACCTGTTCATATACGTTCTTGGCAGATGATCCAGAAGTGGTTTGCCATTGCCTTCTTCTGTGTGTGAATGGAGTAATTATTGGGATGCCACGGAGGAAAACTCCGCGTTGCCTAGACCACGGCCTTGCCCAACAAAAGTTATAAATTCGAACCCGAGACCCCAGGATTACAAGGCCAGCGTTCTAACCGCTACACCACCTCATCTTATTATTATTACTTAGCCAGCTAAAAACATTCAAACATCCCCCACACACGCCTACGTGTAGCTCTCTCAATTTACCTCTATTTTCGAAGTTTTATAACCAAATTTCTGCACGCATTTATTGTTTCCTCCTTGTCCGTTACGTGTTCCGTCCATCAGGGTCTAATTTGCTGCACCGCAGTACCGATATTACAGCGACAATAACTGAGATGCTTTCGAGGGGCAAATATCACGACAGATATTAAGATAATTCTACCGTTTATCTATGTCTTCCCCACAATAATAATAATAATAAACACGAACTGAAGATTTTCTCAGAAACGTTAATAGTTAGGTAAAAACAAGTTAAGACAACTTCACATTACCACAATTAGAAATCATTTGATTTTCTAACACGATATCATCTTCAACTTAATTACCGAGAAATTTTCCATTCTCGGTAATATCAGTAATTTTATGCTAATGTCTAAACATCTGGAATCCAATCACATCGAAGGATCTGACGGAATTTCGATTCAACTCGTGGCAACGCTGCGATAAATCTCATTTTATTTCTACTTATTGGTCTTAAGCGTACTGGCAGTGACCGTGACCTTTAGCCGACCTATATTAGTCTCAACAATGAGCAGATGGCCGGCAGTGCACGTAACGAGACCTACAGAGCCATGGACCGGGCTTCGAGCGTCCGCCGCCTCACAGGTACCAACTAGTATTAGCTTCTGGATTCTGAAGACGTGTGTTTCGCTGTGTCGCTGGACGAATCTCGGTTGGCAGCCATTTTCGAGTGACAGAACGTTGGCTAAAGCATTATTTAATTCTAAAATATACAATTTAAAAAACTATAACATCATCACAAAAATATTGTGAAGTGAATATATTTTTGCAGGTTACTGTAAGTCTAGGGCAGTGTATAATGTCTGCAGCTGTAAAATTACAAAATCCATAGTAAATATCCTATAAACATTTCCCTCCAGAGCAGGAAGAATATAAAATATCAATTATCTTGTGCAACCAAATAAAAATGTAATCAGGCTGATTGAAAGAGGTCATGTTCGTAAGTTATGTGTATTCATATCCAAGGAAATTTTTATTCAATTGACTCTTCACCATCGTCAAGAAGTTTTAGATTTGATATTCATATTTATGTTTAACTTGACTTTAGTCATGCATGCAAATGACGTCCTCATAAACATTCTACAATATCCATGCCAGTCGCAACGGATATAACAATATGGTGGGTCGGGAAGAAATGGACAAAATGTTTGACCAATTTTATGCAGAAGTCTTCTATTTACATTATCATGACTCGTTTTAAAATTAATGTAACCTGAATTTTTATTTTGAAGTTCAGGTTGTAAAGGTAAACTCCTGCAACCATCAAATGCAACTACATTACAAATATTGCAGTTGTTATAATCGGACGCCCGTCATTTTGACACTAAGTACACAGTTTGAACTTGATAGTGGTAATTATTTATTTACTAGAACGGAATGTAACAGTAATATACCTCATTTTAAGACTGCAAGCAGAATTACCACAGCTGATTTTTTCAAAGTGATTGTCCGTAATAAGTTTAAGAGTAAAGTAATGTTTCTGCCATTAAATGGGCTAGCACCGAGGAACAAAAACCACGTGTTTTGAGGGTCATTTTACAGAAAATATAAATTATTAGCACAAAAACTTTCACAACTGAAAGCTAGGACAAAAACGAAATTTAAAATTAGGACACTTACTGGGGTGAAATTTGTTAATATCGCGTACAGAAATGTTATAAATTTACAAATATATATTGGTCATAATTAAAAATCCTGCATAATGAAATTCATCGTAATTCACTTTTCCTTCCGCGGTTAAAGACTGAAGGTCTCTACGTTTTATTTTATTTAAGAAAATTCTGTTAATCAGATGGGTATTTAACGACTCTATATCAACTGCTAGTGTATGCAGACTCGAATAAAAGTTCATACGATCATTACGTACACAGATTTGAAGACTTGAGAGGTATCAAGTCAGTTGAACAAGTTTCTATCGTAGTTCTTCTGTTTTCCTCCGGTAATGGGCATTCCCCTGTCGCTCAACCCCCCCCCCCCTCGAAGGTGTGCGACAGCCCTGAGCAAGTTAAGGGCTTCATTCTGACCCCGACACTTGGCTGGTCTCGGAGTGATCACACACACTCACATCTCTGCTGCTCTGGGGGAGGCGACAACCCCTTTGAGGCCTCCCTGTCTGAAAGCCCATAACTGACAGAACATTCACTGGTTATGGATTGCAAGGCGTAGTTGCAAATATTGGCAGGGGCGCTCTGACGTTTCTGCTATGCGGTCATTCAAGGTCCCATCTAACTCTCATGAACCCGCTTCTGTCCTCGCTTGTTTCCTGCCATCATGGAGCGTCTCTCAGGAAGTGAAATGTTTATGTGCAAGATTCTACAAAATTGGGCAGGATATTGTGAAGCGTGTGTAGCAAAGCACTGGGGCACGCGGGTCGAGAACCTTGACCCTCCAGGTACGCGCAGGCTAAATAATTATTTATTATGCACACTAATCAGATAGCATATCTAGTCACGTGTTGCGAAGAGATCGCCAAAAAACTTGTTTCTTGTCAGATATCGCGTGGGCAGATTGCAAATGTCTAGGGCAGCCTCAAGGACTGATTGGATTCTAAGAATGGAACGAAGATGATGAAAGACCCCAAGGTCTGGGTGACGACCTGTGTGTAATTCCGAAGGTCTCAAATGTGGGGTATGAAAGTTGTTCTCACGCCGCTGCCCCCATGTCGACACCAAGACTTCGAAGTGGCAAAATCGACTTTCCTCGGAACGCAATCAGGTTTTCAAGAAATTCATCGCTCTGGGCGAATATTTTAGTAAACGGTCACAGATCTTGGCCTGGTGTACTCGCGGATACGGGACGCCATGATTGCCTCAACGTATAGGTCAGTGGCGGATTCAATTTGTTCGACACGTCCACCGTCTGAGATGGATTCGGGAGTTTCTTTACTACTCAACTGCACGCTCTTCGCCCGTCTCAGTTACTCACTTCATCAAGGGTTCTGAATGTTCATCCCCGTCATCGCAAAATCACAGCTCGGTTCAGTGCATTTCCAACATTTTCTTACTTAATATTATATTATTAGTACTTCTACTGCGTACTGAAGATGTTCCCAGTTCGAATCTTCGAAGGAACAACTCGACAAAAGCGAGAAATGCTTAGCACACTGCTCAGTCTTCCAGGCGCGTGCCAGTAATTAATTTAAAATACACCAAAACACGTAACTCTCCCAGTATTTTCCCTCGCGTCGCATAATCAGCCTCTAATCTGACATCAAGCAACCTCTGTAACAGATACAGCCTCGTTTAACACACCACAGACATTGATTCGCGATTTTCCTGTGTGCAGTAGCCGATTTGGGGAGTCCCGCCATGACCTGCAGCTTAGCGCCTCTTACGAGCGTTATGTCACACCTCCCCTCCTCCCGCTGTGACTCGAAGGTCCGTCGTGACCGCGTTTATCCTCGCCCTTTCAATCCTAACAGGCGGACATCTCCCGCTACGCGAGGAGGTAAGTAGCCTTCGGTGCCACGGCGAGTAGCGGTAAGCTCAGGGTTGTAATTGATCGGGTTTCCGGTAATCCCCGCTCACATCCGCCGCGGTTTTCCAAGACGACGAAGTGCGTAACTGTGCCCACGAATATGTGTGACATTCTATTCTTAAGTCGATAACTAGGAAGACATTTCTAACGTAGAATCTGTATAAAGTAAGAAGTTCTTTCAAACTTACAACAATAATAAGTACTTCCGTAGCATTTACAATTTAAATCAACAATAATACAACAGTTGTCCGGCTAGTATTCGGGCACATGGCCATCCACTTACGAGACAGCACGCCGTTTGCCTGTGCAGTAGCAGCCCATTACTTCGCAAGGGCGTTCTTTACCTTATTCCAGAATGAGCTTTCCACGTGTCCGTAAAGTAGCTCGGAGTAGCTGGGCATAGCCCATTAACCTCCTGGAATGCAATGAAGCGACGACTAAGTCGCAGTTATTTAATGTACGTAGCGATCACTTTTGGCCTCCCCTTAGGAATATAAACATATTATTATAAATTATTGCCCTTTTCAATAAATTTCTGAGACCCAGGATTCTAATTTTGTCAGTGGAGGCGCGTTTCCAGTCTTATAAGGCAGAAGGTCCCACGCTGGTCGAGCAGAGTGAGTGACGACGACATTTTTTTTCAGCTTTGCTTAATGTCTGCAAATACGTTCAATAAACTCGCACGTTTCTTCCATCTCTTTGAGATACACACAGCCTGCGTATTACTCCTGTGCCGCAGGTCCCGTGCTAGGCTTGCTGCTTCTGGTGGCCAGTGGGGGGGATTGCTGGCCGTGGGGGTCTGATCCCTTCTGCCCGCCTGGTCCAGAACCAGAGTGCCCCAGAAACCCTGCAGACGACACATCAAACTACTTCCCCCACCCTACGGACTGCCACTATTACATCCAGTGCGACGGCAGCAGGAAGCCGATTTGTCGTCAATGTGGTCCCACGATCTACTTCAGCCCGAAAGTTCTGAACTGCCTTTGGCCGCTGGCCGCAAAGTGCGAGCACAACGCCACGACAAGACAGGACAGTCTCCTGCCCCCGATATGTGGGCCGGACAGGAGACATCATCTCGACTGCGACCGCGAAGGCAACACTTTCAGAGACCCTTCGTCCTGTGATCACTATTACAGGTGCACGGGAGGAACAAAAGTGAGAAACAACTGTCCGTCGGGTCAGCACTACAACGGGCTGCTTGGTGCCTGTGACGATCCTTGCAAAGCGGGCTGCAAACCCGGAGCGAATTGCAATCAGAGAACCACGTCATTCCGGACAACATCTACGACTTCAAAAGCAACATCAGCAAATTGTATTCCTGGAGTCAACTGTCCCACCAGGAGTACCACCACTCCTAGCTGTATTCCTGGAGTTAATTGTCCCTCCAGGAGTACCACCACTCCAAAGTGCATCTCTGGAATAAATTGCCCTGAATCAGTAACTTCAAAATGTACAACTGGTTATAACTGCCAAACAACAAACAGATGTGTGTCTGACTATAAATGCGAAGATGAGAAAACCCCAATGTGCTTCCCGAACAGGGATTGTGACAATCCGCGGCCAGAATGCCCTGTGTGCAACGAGGATGGAGAGACGTTTGCGCATCCTCTGAACTGCGACTGGTTCTACAAGTGTGAGGGTAAAGTAGCGGTGCCCGTGAAGTGTGGGTGTGGGTTCCTGTACAACGCACGATACAGAGTGTGCGACTACCCCTGCAACGTGGACTGCACGGGTCGAGCGAAACGTGCGACACAACTGAAGATGTTCTGCCAAGCCAACGCGAGCCACTCGAGTGGCACCATGGCCTTCAGTCAGAACTCCCTCAGGTCCAAGTGCGGGCAACTTTAATCCCGAATGGATTGATTAGTGGGCGTCCAACTCACAATATCGATGTTAAAGTTACAATCTAATGATATTACCTTCCAGCCTCGAACCCAGTGTTGCAAATCAAAGCTAACTTTGTGTTCTCTGCCCGATGCTCCAAGATGAAAAATACACTGCCCTGAAACACTGAGCCAGACGACTAACAGATAATGAATTAAAATTTAATCGGAGTGAACTTTGTGAGGCACTGGCTTGTAAAGAAGATGGCCTCAGAAACAAAGTTTTCAAGGTCTTGATGACGGAGGTTACTGCAAAAAGATTCTCTGCGGTCTGTACCCACAGTTGATATTATACGGGTACGACGTTTGTGTTTACAGATTTGTATACTCAGATTCGTATCTCTGGGAGACTTTACATGATATAATTAATTCTGACGCTTTGACAAAAACTGTCACAGTAGATGATTCAGCCGTGTTCACTGGTATCTCCTGAGTGTCCTGTGGTTAGGCGAAGACCTAACTTGTTCTTTCATGTATTTAGATGCTGCAAACGTTGTTACCAGAAAGGATCTTTGGAGCTTGGTAGAAGGGCTTACCGTAATAGCAATTAAGTTTGACACAAGTATTTCGACGCGAAAACAAAATAAAATACACCTAATAAGCTACACCATTTCTCTACCTGAATGCTCGTTTAATCAAAATTGTTTCTCCGTACAAATTGAGGTATTATTTTTTTTGTCATTTTCGTGTTGAATTCGTGGTCATGGGGGCGATGGGTGGTGGTTTCTACGGTGGAGGGGATGCAAGTAATGGCAATTTTTCTCTCGCTATGGTGTTGGTGTACTTGAAATACAAGCATGATTCATAAATAGTACAAAAACATTAAGAAAAATTACTCCTATACGTATACACGTTTCTAGGAATAAAACAGGTCTGCATGAAACAGTGTTGTAAAACTAATCTAATCGGCGAAAGACACAATCGGATTTCAATTTCGCTGGAAACACACGCAATTTAAATTCATATAATTTGATTTCTGTGGGATGGAATCTGTTGCAAACATGATCTGCTATAAGAATGTTGATTAAATTTTACATTTTTTATATGTATTTAGAATAGATAAACTAATCAAAGGTATCAATGCTTTTTAATGCCTGAAGTATATAAAACATGTCTTACTAATTTAATAATTCGAAATGAAGTGATTATCAGTGTATGTATAGCACAATTTGTTATAAAACAATAATAAATCCATAATCTTATGAACGTTTATAAAATAACTGTCTACTAACATTCCAGTACGGATAAGAAGTCTCATAGGATAAGAATATGAAAGTAGCAGTAATTAATTTCACAATGGCTGTGATATTTTATATTACTTACGATATATTACAAATCAGACAGTAAAAGATAAATACCTTTTATTCATTACTTAACCAAGAAAAATAATTCATTGTCAAATAAAATTGTCTTCATGTGGAGAGAACTGTCAAGTTAAAATTATCATCATCGTAGCTCTTTCACTCTATGTTACGTCGAACCCAGTTCCTGAGGATCATTACATAGCAACTTCCGGAAAATACGTTTTAAACTAATGATACGTTAATTCAAGATGGGTTCTGTTCCTGGAATGGCTTTCTTTTGTAGTCCCAAGGCGAAGTGATTGCCAGGAGTGTCATCTCCACATTTTTCAGATCGCTCTTGTAAGTTTCTATCTGCACCAATAATTGTCATTAGTTACACGTTCTGAAGATTCGGTTAAGCTGATGAAAGATCAATATTCTAGCTTCGTGTGGTGCGTCATTGTGAACAAGATCATTGAACACTTTCATTTTGTTATACAGCAATTCAGTTCTGGCGTAAAGAATGAAACAAAATGTCTCTCGCTGCGGGATTAGAACAAAATGCAGTCATTTATTTCAGCGAGTACACGCGAAGAGTTCTCTTTTATTAATCTTACTATCATTATTATTACGAAGACCATCCATTATGCATGTCATCCGAGTGTAAGTCTGAATGGACGTGTGAGTGCGTACGTGACCTATTAGCGAACAACCGGATTTATAGACGAGTCAATGAGTGAGTGAGCGGGAGACTTTCTTTGTCAGAGAGAATGAATCCGACGCCAGAGGCTCTTAAAGCGGTCGGAGCACTGATAACCGGAAATGGGCTCGAGATGCTGGACCGCGTACACTTGGGAAGAATTTTCTCTACTCTGAAGATGGAGGCAGCGGCAAACGGTGGTCTAGCGGTCAGAACGCTGGCCTTGTAATCCTGGGGTCTCGGGTTCGATTCCCGGCGGTGCCCGAATTTATAACTTGTGTTGGGCAAGGCCGTGGTCTAGGCAACACGGAGTTTTCCTCCGTGGCATCCCAACAATTACGCCATTCACACACAGAAGAAGGCAATGGCAAACCACTTCTGGATCATCTGCCAAGAACGTATATGAACAGGTCCCAGTCCGAGAAGAGAAAAGGATGGAAGGATCCTGTTCATATGGACCTGTCGTCAGACAGAACACTAAATAAAAAATAATAAATATATAAGACAACTAAACAATTGTTATATTAGTTCGTTGTGGATCTGATATCATTTAAACCAATTAATTACAATTAATGGAAATATTTTTCATTTTTAACTTCAAATTTATCCGGATGTTGTAATTCACCTTCAGTAATAACATTACTACAAAACAAGTTAAGTATCAACAGAATTATGATTTTAATTTAACTTCGTGACACATCCGATAATTTTTAAAAATTTAAATGACATACTAATCAACTGACCATTGTAATTTAACTAAACTTCGTAACAATTACATTAAAATCATTAAGAAATTAGCTGTTCCCTTCCACTTATCTCCGTGACAAATATTTTACACACTCGAACGCAAACTTAAGCACGGAAGTGACTAAAACGGCTAAGCGGGATTTTAATCATGGTTGCTATTTTAAGAGAGAATAATAACTGATGAGTAATTTAACTTTAAAGATGACGCAACTGTGGGTACTCATTTAAGAACGTTGGGTGTACTTCTTAGTTTGCATCGACATACAAGATAATTTATCAACACATACGCAACGCTGTCTGTGAGAACTTTTTTAAACGCCGTCTCAGGGGAGGGGCAGGGAGTTGGTAGGAGAAGTATCCTCACTGCAACTTCATTATAATATTTACGGAGGACAGCAAGGAAAATCCGAGGCAATGAAACATACAATTATTTTCGTCGCCTGAAATCAATTTTCGTCCGTGACCTTCCGTGCCCTGTACTGGTATAACTGTGACCGCGACGGCCAAGGAGACCTCATACAGAATTAAACATGGGTTTCGCAACCACCAGGTCTTCGCCAGGCTCCAGGAAACACGACAACGGTGGTAAAAGGATCGCTACAGGTTAGTGGGCACAGCGCTGTGGCGTGTACTTCGAACCCAGCCGTCCGCATTAAACTCAGTTGTCATCCGTTTACTTCAGAATCGTTTCACTTGTGGTGCAGAATTAAGTGGATCTGAACTGTGGCCATCAGTTTCCATGAACTATATACAGGGGCCAGAAGTAACCCGATACAGTTTCATGATCAACCTGAGATTAATTTTCCCGCTTAGTCTCAATCACGAAATCACGCATTAAACTTCCAGTGATTGAAGTCAAGTTTGCATTATGCAGATTCGGTAAAAGAAAACCAAAGCTTACTTTTCTTCACTCTGTAAATTAAAGCCTACGTCTTCAACAAATCTGTGACTATAAATTCTGTATTTACGTATTTCGTATGATTCTCACTGTAAACAGCGATTATTTCCTTAAACAGCGTTAACCATTCGATTTTTGTAATGGTGAAGAGAAGTGTTTTCTTCGCGGTACGGACTGAATTCTTAAATGTAATTTAGACGAACTATGATTCTCACTGTAAACAGCGATTATTTCCTTAAACAGCGTTAACTATTCGATCTTTGTAATGGTCAGGTGTTGTGTTTTCTTCGCGGCACGGACTGAATTCTTAAATATTGTTTAGAAGTGCTTCGTACTCCAGATGGATAATGAGCAGTTCTATGTTTCTTACACGCAACGATATTACGACACTAAAATATTATTTAGAACTTAATTCCACGAAAGAAAATGTTAATAAGGCAGAGAAAAGAACTTGAGTGTAATTTAACGTTGGACTTCGTAAACAAGTTGTGTAAACCGGAGTGTTTAAATGGCGTACTTCGCCTTCCGTTAAGGAAATTCATGAACTGAACGCATAATAGTAAGTAGCGTCTGTCTGGCTGCCCATTTCAATACAAGAATACAAATTCTTCAAGTCACAGAGGAGTGCACGCAACTTCTGGGAGATAACATCACGTAGGCTACATGTAGCAGTGATAATTTTCTCAAAACCAGGTCGTATCTGCAGAAAATTAATATGAAAATGGATTAAAACTTTCCACTCTTTCAATTAATATTTAGGAACGTAGATATAGTTTCAATTGTGCTTATTATATGAGTCAAACGGACGAAATGACATTTACATAACGCGGTACAATTACTGAAACTTTAACTACAAAAAATCCCAAAAATTACAATAGTAGGTTTTTGATACTTCAGAGCTCATATTACCTGAAACTTAGCACAACGATCACTTGAACTTCAGTGCATGTAAATTATGCAACTATATTTCTATAATCCTTTTGATAACAACGATAAATGTTATTTGTTATAAGTTTCAAAAAATTGATTTTCTTGTCCTGAACTTCAAGGCCTTGTACCGCTTTACCCTGGCACAGGCGAACTTGCATTCAGATTCCTGCTCAAATGCCTGCAGGTCTTCTGCTGCTTCTCGCTGCAGCTGCTTCGGACTGCTGGCCGTGGGGTTCCGACCCTCTGTGTCCACTGGGGCCAGAACCTCAATGCCCAAGCAATCCGGTGACCGACTTCGACAACTACTTCCCTCATC